TGAAGGACTCTCTGTAAGGCATAATTCGAGACCACACCTGCAGTTTCTGCCTTTCTCTCTCAGTCAAGTGCACCTGTTAAGGAGAAGATAGAGAACAACAATAATTATAAGGAATTTATTTGAGATGCAGAGCGTAAAATGTGCAATTACCTTAGAAATGATTACCATTAAGCAATAACAATAGTCAAAAACCATACAGCTACTAAAATAAATCAAAATTATATTTATTTTGCCCGAGCTTTCATCAACTCTAAAACATTAAGAGTGTCCTAAAACAAACTTGATGTTCAGTTCAACATTAGTGGCTGAAGATCTACCCTCATATTCCAATAGCCAAAACTATGTTGCCTCACACATGCAACAATGCTCCACTGACATGGTTTAAATTATTTATAGACTTTCCTAATCATCTCTTCACTAAAAGCAGAACACTTAGCATGCAATGTAACAATTTAAGTTCAAATGCACAACAGCTGCATCACCAGGTTTTTTTATTGCTTTGTTTTCTCTCATCTTTTAAAATGTCAACATTCACCAAACTCCAGTCGATTAATATTTCTGAGAAATAAACATCCCTTCCTACTAGACGTACCAAAACATTGAATTCTAATCACCTATGAGAAATAATTTCATAATCATCCAAAACATTAGAGTAACAAAAGGATCAATGCAAGCAAAATAGAAGTCATTTATAATTTGTAAGGAAGCATAGATAAAAGAAAGTATGGTAATATGTAGCAGTAGGAGCATAGATGAATGAATATGGATGAAAATCAGTATGGATGAAAATCCACTGAAGAATTACTAATTTCACAATTATCTTGCTGCAAGAGAAAGACCAAATACTCCACCATCTCAGCTCATGGTTAATCACCCTGGCCCAAAAACTAAAATATCAAGCATTAATTGCAATGCCAATGATTATCTAACTTATCTAGCAGATGCAGAGCCATTATTTTTAATATCAAACACCTTGGTCTTTGAAAATCTTACAAGCCGTAGAAACCTTAGTCCACGCATTCCTCAACAACAATGCCCACTGCTCAATCACTCCGTACCTTGCATTCACCACTTCACCGCAAGCACCCTCTTGCACCAGAAAACCAAAAAACCACAAAACATTGCCCCCCAGAAAGACCCCCCACTTCAGCAAAATCTTCAGAGACTCCAAATCCAGGCCTAAAACCTCACCTTGGTCAACACCCAGATCATCGTTTTTTCACTTAACGATCTCAGAAGAGCTCTTGTACCAACAATGCCAAGTATTCACAATCTCAAAGTGTAAATTCCACCAAAAATGGACGGATTGAAACAATTGGAGACTATACGACATGGGAAGTGACTACATCTGGATGAAAATTTTATTGAGCATTTCAAATTTCAATTGTGTTGCACGAAACCCAAACACTTGGATGCGGAAATGAAGGGGGGTCGATTGGTAACAGCGGATTTAGGTGCCTCAAGCCCCCACACTAGTCATAGCTGAAGGAAAATGTTAAAAATTCAGAAAAAAAAAAAAAAAAAACCCAAAACTGTATTCCCTTTCCCAATCCTAGGTGACGAGGTAAAAACAGAGGTGGAGGGAG